TATATATATATATATATATATATAAATGAGAGACAGAAAGATATATTTTTTAAATTATAATAAAACTTTGTTTATCCGAATTATTTAAATGACAGACAGATTAAATAATAAAAATGTCAATACTTGGCAAAAAGAGATTAATATACTGTGTTTCTATTCAACTTTTATTCCATAAAAACAAAATATATCTATTAATTAAAAATACATATTTATATAATTAAAATTATATTCGATTTCAGTTCAGATAATAAAAGTTTACTTAGAAATTCATATACGTAAGATTAAAAGAGCTTTTAATTGGTTTATATAAAGTTTTATTATAGTTTTAAACACTTAAAATATTATTTCAAATTAAAAAGACATTCAATGAACTATCAATTGAATATATATTATAAATTTTCATTTGTTAAAAATATTTTAATAAAAAACTATTGTTTAGAATAGAATCATTAAAATATTAATATATATTAATAAAATACTTTGTTGCTGTGCTTGAAGATTTCCTGTTTCATTATAAACAGGAAGTATGGTACGTCGCAATGTAGCAAGACGTTGTTCTAAAGAAGACAGAATTCCTACAACATTATTGGTTAATTTTCTACTTCGCTCTTCTGCTTCTTTTAATGCTTCTAAAGAAGCTATTTCTCCTTCTAATTTACACTGAATTTCAAATCTGTGTTCAGAAGTATCTGCTCTTGCAATATGCATCATTTTATCTAAAAATTATAATATAATATAAAATGTAAAAAATATTGTAAATATTTTAAAAAATTATTATATATCAAATATTTATGATTATGATATTATCAAATTATTTGAAATATATTTTAAAAATTATATATATATATATATATACATATATATATATATATATATATATACATATATATATATATATATATCAATAATATTATTAAAGATATATAACTTTTGATATAAATTCCTAAAATTAAAACTAATATTTTTAAATTCTATCCATCAAAATGATATTTTTATATCAAAAGACATAAAAAATAATAATATATTTTTGGTAACCAAAGTCAAAGAATAATCTATCATTAAAATTTTATATAATAATAAATAATCTATTATAATTTTATATAATTATAATAAATATATATATAAATATAAAGTAAATTTAAATTATTTACAAAAGTATAATTTTTGAAAATTGGGTGAAGAAACAAGTAGTAACAAAATTTATATCAATAATTGAAAGAGATTAGATAATAAAATAAAAAAGTTGTTTAATAATTTATAAAAAAAATTATGAAGAGAAAAATCTTTAAAATAAATTGTAAAACTAAAATCATAATATAAAATCATATTACAAAATTCTATTTTTTTTAAATAATATAGAGTATAGTAATTAACATATCGATATTTAAAATATAAATTATGAGGTACTTTAAAACATTGTTTATTTCATGGAAAATTGAAAACATAATTACTATCTATATAAAAAAAAGATTTTACGTTTACATTTAAGATATGTCTAACTTTCTTCATGATTTTCTCACTACTATACAGAATATTGATTAAATTATTTACTTACTATATTGTTATATTGTTATATTTACTTATTATATTATTATATTTTTTTATTATAAATTTAAAGGATAATGTCTAATATCACAAAATTAAAACTTAATATAAAAAAACCAAATTTCAGAATTTCAACCATATTAGAATGCAAAACTAGTGGTACATTCTACAGTTGAGTTTAGTCACTAAATTACTACAAACGTACTAGATTATTACAGACGTACGAATTGGCAATTCATTGAGAATAGTATGGGAAATATATAATTGATATAATTAATATCATGATTTATATTAAAATGAAATAAAAATAGAAACAATAACGGATCTTACATTATTTTAAGATATATTATGAATATATTTTAAAATTCAAAATTAAAGTCATAATCTTTATATATTTATATTAGGACTTTTATCTTCTATATCAAGTTATATTGAATATTCAATTATCAATTATTAATGTATCATTTCAAAAAAGACAGAAACAGTTTAACATTATATTTTTAAAATGAATAGAATTTTCATATAAAACTATAAAATAAATCTCACAAAGTAAAGAAGATGATATCTTATTTTATTACAATAATTGAAATTTCTCTTTAAATCATTTTTTATTATTAAATTTTAAAAAAAAATTTTTTAAATTTATAAATATATTAAAAAAAAAAAAATGGAAGAATATATTTTTTGTTTCAAAGAAATGTTTCAAAGAAGCAAAAAAATAAGATTATTACAAACTAATAATAATAATAATATATTTTAAATAATAATATTTTTTAAATTTATAAATATATTAAAAAAAAAAAATGGAAGAATATATTTTTTGTTTCAAAGAAATGTTTCAAAGAAGCAAAAAAATAAGATTATTACAAACTAATAATAATAATAATATAATAATAATAATTCATGTATTAATATATTCTTACTATTTTTTTAAATTAAAATAAAACAATAATTATAAATTGAATATTTTAAAATTACAATTTCCAAAATATAACATATTTAAAATTATAAAAATAAAATATAAAAAATAATAAATAATAAAAAAAAATAAAATATATATTTTAGATTTAATAATAATTAAATTTCATTTCGTAAATATTTATATATTGCTTCGAAAATAAAAACTTATATCATTATTTGCTCATCATATAGATATATGACATCAGATGATTTATTTTAATTAATTATTTTAATTAATCTGAAGTCATGTTTATATATATATAAATATTTATTCTTCATATTGTCATTATACAAATCATATTATAAATTTTTTGGTATATATGTAAAACGACAAAAAAGAAAAAGAGATATTAATGACCTCAGATGTTCTATTTTCATTCTTATTTCTAGCTATTCATAAATTTAATCTATGACTCATAGTTTAAACAAATATACTTATATTGTGGAAAATTAAGATTTCAAAAAATTAAGTGTTTTCTACTTTTAAAAAAATTTACCATATAAAATGGGTAAAAAAGATAAAAACAAAAAAAAAATAAGTGGTAATGAAAAAACTGCACTTAAAACTGAAAAGAAATTGAATGCTAAACAAAAAAAAGAATTAGCTAAACTTGGCGAGGTTAGATAAATATGTAATATATAATACAAGGCATTTTTATAAATTTATAAAGCATTTTTTAAAAATTTATAAATTATAAAATTTTTATTATATTTTATTTTTATTCAATCTAATTAATAATTCCAAATTAAATAACAACACAAAAATAATACTGATTTATTTTTATATTTTCTAGGATAACATAGAAAATATTATTGCTCAAATTGAAAAAGAAGAAGCTAAAAGACAATGTATTATTGAAAAAATTGTAGCACCACCATCTAGACGTATAAATTTTACTTTAACAGCACATCCTTTCAAAGATGAGCTTATTATGTTTGGTGGAGAATTTTATGATGGACGAATGGTAAACTGAAAATATATTAGTGTAAAATTTTATTTTTATTTTATTAAATAAAAATAATATTTATTTCAATTAATTATTTTAATATATTATAATAATTATATTTTATAAATTATTTAATAAATTTCAATTATCTTCAGACACTTGTTTATGGTGATATGTTTATATATAATTTAAACAAAAATGAATGGATGATTATAAAAGTACCTGGTGCTCCACCTCCACGTTGTGGTCATCAAGCAATAACTACAGCTGCAAATAAAGGAGAATTTTGGATATTTGGTGGTGAATTTTCAAGTCCTTCAGAATCACAATTTTATCACTACAAAGATTTATGGGTTTATCGATTTGCAGAGAAAAAATGGATAAAAATTTTGTATGTTATAATATTTTTTAAATATTTTAAATATTTTACTATTAAATATTTTTATTTGTTTTTCTTGTTTTTTTTTTTTTTTTTTTTTTAAGACGTCCTGGTGGACCATCAGCTAGAAGTGGTCACAGAATGGTTCATATAAAAAAACAATTGGTAATTTTTGGTGGTTTTCATGACAATTTGAAAGATTATAAATATTATAATGATGTACATATATTTGATCTTGAAACATATATATGGCATAAAATTGAATTATCTGGTAAAATCTTGAAAAATGAAAAATTTGTTTTTAAAGTTTTATTATTAAAATAATAATTGTTATATTATTAAAAATATATAAAAATTACAGGTATTCTACCACTTCCAAGATCTGGAAGTATATTGTTGCCAGTTTCTGAAAATAAACTTCTTTTATATGGTGGTTATAGTAAGGAAAGAATAAAAAAAGATGTTGACAAAGGATGCATACATAGTGATATGTTCTTAATGATTCCTGAAAGTAAGTAATTTTTATATAAAATATATTTTCTACATTAAATTTTTAAATAATGTTATACATTTATATGTCATAGAACATGATCAGACTGGTTTAAAATGGAAATGGATATCTGTAAAACAAACAGGAATCAAATTATCACCACGATGCGGCATATCAGCTAGCTTAATCCATTCAAATTTGGTTTATTTATTTGGTGGAGTTTTTGATGAAGAAAATGAAGAAGAACTCCATGGAATATTTTACAATGACTTATTAGTTTTAGATTTGGAAAAATTTCAATGGCATATAGGTAGATATATTAATTATTTTAATATTATGATTAAATGGATTATTATATATATATTATGATTAAAAAAAAATAAATGTATTATTGCTTAATATCAGTAACATTAAATGGAAAAAAAAATATAAATACACAACATCGAAGAAGAAAATCAAAGAAAGAAGAACAAGATGATATTGAAAATGAAGATGATAATAATGAAGAAATGCAAGAAGTGCCTTCTACTTCTATTAATTCTACAATTATTAATGATGATGGAATATTTACAGTTACAATAGGACCAACACAAAAAACTACTATTGATAAAAAAGAAAACATGTATAAAGATATGTTCATTCCATGTCCACGAATAAATTGTGGACTTGTTGTAAAACATAATATTTTATATTTATATGGTGGTATGTTTGAAGATGGAAATCGACAATATACACTCAATGATTTTTATAGTTTAGGTGTGTTTATAAGTACATATGTGCAATAAAATTTTATAAAATGACAATAAATGTTATATTTAATTATTTTTATAGATTGTCGAAAATTAGATGAATGGAGAACAATATTAAGAGATGATTTATCTTCCCAAACTTGGTATGATTCTAGTGACTCTAGTACAGATAATGAAGATACAGATGATAGTAATGAAAATGATCTTATAGATATGCAAATGGATATTAATGAAAAATAATATATATATATTATAACATAAAATAAATTGAATTTGTTATTTTTTAAATTATTTTTATGATATTTAAACTTATATATACCTTTATATAATATATATATATATAATTATAATATTATATAATATATATAATATATATGTATGTATCAGATATAGAACTTAATTTGATGTCTTTATATTAAATCATTTATCATTTTGGTTTAAATATAAATGAAGTTTTATTATAAATTATTTTAATTTTCAAACTGTCAATATAAATCATTATCAAACATCTGATTCTTAAAAGTAATCAATTTGAATGGATGAAACAAATCTTTTGAGTTTTATAAAAAAAAAAAACAAAAAATATAATTTATTTCTTAAATCAAAAAATTCTCCTATGTGAATCATTTTTCTAACTTGACTTTATTTATAATTATTATTCATTATTTTAATTAGATATTATACTGGTATTATTAATTATTAATTTTTTATTTTTAAACAAGGATTTAAAACCAAAATTTTAAAGATATAATAAAATTTATATATGATATAGATATTATTATAATATCAAAACTAAGATAATATGTTTTTACATACAATATGTTTGCAAATGAAAAAAGAGATATTGTGATTAATAATATTCCGATGATTGTTGAAATTTAGCAAATCGTTAGTTTTATATTTCAATTGTTATAATTCGTTTTTATTTTTCTAATTAAAAGATGTATTAAATATAATATATATATAATATAATATAATATAATATATAATATAATATAAATATAATAATAATAATATATATATATATATATATATATATACTAAATATAATATATATATAAAATATTATATAAATATTTTATGACTGAAATAAAAATTATTGTACACGTGAACAAAATTATCACTTTGTATAATATTATTTATATAAGGTCCAAATTTCTTCTAGATTATATTACTTTTTTTTCTGCGAAATAAAATAATAATATAAAAAAACTTGTATTTAAAATAAAAAAAAATTTATTTTTTATGCTGTTTCATAATTATTGAAACTATTGATTAAGATTTCGAAAAAATAAAGTTAAAAAAAAAATTATAAATTTTTATATAATAACTTTTTTGCATCATATAAATAATTGATAAATCTTTTACTAAATGATAGTATCATTAAAAGAATTTTTATCTTAAAATTTTTTCTTTATCTTTTGAATCATAATACAATATCAAAAAATAATCGAATTTTCATTTTGAATTAATTTTGATCTTTTAAAATTGAGTAGCAAAAAAAAAATTATAATATATATTTACGTATGCATTATGTATCTTTAAAGTTTCGAAATTTTTTGAATTTTAATTTTTTTTTGAATTAAAAATCTTGTTAGTAATGCCATCAATACTGAGAAATTATTTGCATCTTTTAAATTTATCTTATCATTATTAAAATATAATTTATTCGATATTGTTAATGACTTATTAATATTTAGATTCAACAAATTTATAAATTTATTGTATTATTACAATATAATTACAAAATTTGTATATTTACAAATTTATAATTTCTTATATTTTATATTATTTTTAATTATTATAAGAAAAAAACATGATTAAAAACATTTTAGTTTTAATTTTTAATCATTTTGTAATTATGAACGAGATATTTCACATGTTATTAATATTAATATGTATTTATTAATTATTAATGTATTTTATTAATATTAATAAAAATTAATAAATTTTACTAAATTTTAGTAAGATAAAATTAAATTTTATTAATATTAATATAAATATTAATATTTTATAATATTAATATTTTTAAAATAATTTTGTTCTTATTAACTATTATATATAACAATTATATTTGATAAATAGATCTTATTATTATTATTAAATTAATAAATTAATAAAACTTATTAATTTTATCAAAGTTATTTTATATATATTATAATATATGCTATAAATTTTAAACTAAATTTTTATTAATATTAATTATTAATATATGATATGCAATATATCTCATTCGTAGTATTGTATAAATGACATTAATATCATGTATTATATAAATGACATTATCATGTATTTCGTTTATGTTGCGAAGTGATTAAACAATTATTATTATCCTTTACAATAAAATAACCGAAAAAATAGAAAATTATTTTATTTTAGTTTTTGATAATATATCGATTTCAGTATAGTTTTTTTAGTTTAAAATATTAAAAGTAAAGTATTAAAGTATTCAAGATTATATTTTATTATATATATATTATTATATTTATTCAAGATTATATATATATCAAAATTGATAACTTTATAAAAAATTTTTTTTTTTGTTAAGGAATTCGAAAATTATTTAAAAAATGAGACGAAATCACAAAAATAATGATAAGTATTTCAAAGAATTGTACAATTGTACATTTTTTTATATATATATATAAATGGTAATTTTATTTTAAAAAAATACTAAATTAATTTTTAGATCTAATAAATATATATACATCTAATAAATATATATATATATATAGATCTAATAAATATATATTTATAAAAATGTAGGACTTTTTTAAAAGGTAGATTCTGAACATCAAAACAACAAAAAAAGTTCATTTGCACATATAGATCCGATAAGGTTTAATTAACGAATTATAAGCATTTTAAGTTTATATAATATAAGTATATATATATATATATATATATATATATATATGTATGTATGTATGTATATAAAGTTTATATATAAGACAGAGCGAGATGGTGAAAGAGCGAGAACACTCAACTGGATGCGCGGTAGTACTGTATTGCAATATCGCATAACGGAACCCTCAATGAAAGTAAATATATTAATACTTTTTTTATATACAATTGATTATTTCAAATAAATTTCAGTGTAATGTAATATAATATATGTATTATGTAACTTTTTATTTAATAAAAATTTACCTCGAATAAGTTTTAGTAAATTCCAGAATATTAACATATACACGACTTTATATATATAAATATATATAAATCGTATTTATATATATAAATCATAGATAAATTATTTTATCAAACATAATATTATAATATATTATTTAAATCCATAGTTGAATTATTGTATGACACTCAATCTGCTTATTTACCGAAATCTATAGAAACAAGTCAAAATATATTCAAAACATAAGATTTCAGATTAGAAAGGTATTTTTTTATATATAAACTTGTTTATTCTTATATATACAAGAAAATCACTAATGATATTTAAACCATTTTAAAAACCATTTTAAAATTATAGACCAATTGTATCAATTGAAAAATCTTATCTCTATTTCATTTAAATTCACTATTTTTTATTCCGATATGAGATTAATTTAAACAAAAAAGTTGAAATTCAATATCTACATTTTAATATAATACTATTCTACATTTTAATATAATGCCATTATTTTATATATTCACTAAAAAAATCATATAAGCATTGCATTTTTTTTTTCATATTACTATTATATATTAGATTTTTTTTTATTCACTATTCACATTAATTTCTTTGAATAAAATTATTTTGATTATTATTTATTATTATACAATTTAATTTTATATGAAAATTATTTAATTAAAATTTTATTTTAAACAAATATTCAAATATCTATTATTTTATCAAATGCTAAACTTGACTTCGCAACGCAATGTGTTATTGAAATAGGGTTGCTAACAATTGAATGCTGAGCATTAGAAAAAGAGAATTGATAGAAAGAAAAAATGAAATAGTAATATTTGAAATCGAATGTTATGTTTGTATATTTTAGGTATAAGAATATGAAAATCTAGGTCAACAATCTTTCCCGTTACTAAGATAGTGTTATTTAGTTCTGGACTTAGTTCGTTCATAACATTCATGTAACGTATATTACAAATGAACGTATAAAAAAAAATTAATGAATTTGTAATATTCATTCAAACATATATAAAAAAAGCAATTGCGATATGTATGCATTTTTTATGGATATTATGCATTTATATGTGATATTAATGTGTAATATTGATTCATATTATCAATAAGTGATATCCAAATCGATTATCATTTTTCTGCATAAAAATGAAAAATATTTAGTGCAAATGAAATAAAGATAAATATTTATTAATGATTTGATTGGATAATTTAATAATCTAAAATTGATTCAAGTATCATTAGTATTTTTTGTATATGTGAAAATAGAAAAACAATTGTCACATAAAAACACATTCAACCTTTTTAATTCAAAATCTTATAGAAGTTTTGATTTGCTTCTATAGATTTCGATAAGTATGGCAAATTGAATGAATACAATGATTCATTTATGATTTTAAATGAGATACTGTATGATTATTATATAACTCTAAATATTATGAAATTTGCTATAATTTCTCTGAGATAAGTTTTTATTAAATAATTAATTACACAGATTCAAATAATTAAATTTTTTTTTTTAAATGATGTAGAAATGTTGCATAGTTATATTACAAGATATTCATGTACATTGTACATTATCTTTTATATTATATATATATATATATATATATATATATATATATATATATATTTATATTTATATATAATATATATTATTATATATATTATATTATATATTGAAATTCATTTGAAATAATTAATTGTATATAAAAAAGTATCAATATATTACTTTCATTGAGTTCCACTACACAAGCGACATTGCAATACAGTACTACCGCGCATCTAGCTAAGCGTTCTCGCTTTCTCGCTGTTTTGCTCTATCTAATATAAATTTAAAATACTTATAACTTATTAATTAATTCTTATCGGACACATGTATATATGAATGTTTTTTATTGTTTTGATATTTAGAATCCATCCTCAAAAGATATCTCACATTTTTATAAATATTCTGTATATATATTCCGGCAAATACCAATTATTTTATATCTTTTTATATAATCTATAATTTTTATATATTTAATCTATATTTTATATAATCTTATATTTTTTTATATAATCTATTTATTAATAAATTATAACAGTTTTACAATATAAATAATTTAAACACTGTGGATATCTTATAGTAAATGATTTATTTTTGAATTCACAAAAACAACATTATTTTGTTAATCCAATAAATTGATAAATTTTATAGACAAATAGTTTTTAAACAATAATATTATAAGTTACTTAATTCTTTTTGAATTTCTTCTAAAGATTTTCCTTTTGTTTCAGGAACTATAAAGTATACAAAGAAACTTCCAATAAGACAAATTACAGCAAATAACCAATATGTAGCAGCAAGATGAATTGTCTCTGAAAGATCACTGAAAAATTTAGTTACAATAAAAACTAATATCCAGTTAAAAAGACAAGCACTACTTGCAGCTATACCCTTTACTTCTGGTGCAAAAATTTCACCCATCATCATCCATGGAAGTGGACCAAAACCAACATTGAACATTATAATAAAAATACATACAGAAACTAAAGGTAACCACTTAATTGAATTAACATCTATTTCATTTTCTGAAAGATAGAAATAAACTCCAAGTATACAAGATGTTAAGCATAAAAATATTATAGATATGAATAGTAATATTCTTCTACCTATACGATCTACTATTAATGTGCTTACAAATACAGCCAAGACTTGCATTATACCTACTATAATAGTTGAGTAACCAGGATTTAAATCAGTATTAGCTTTTTTAAAAATACTGTTAGTATAGAATATAACAACATTGATGCCACTTAATTGTTGAAAAAACATTAGACCATAAGCAATTATAAAACTTTTTAAAGTCGTTTTAGATTTAATTAAAGTCCAAAAAGAAACTGAATTTTTATTAGTTTCTTCTAATGCATCTTTTTGACTTTGTAATTCATTTTCTATATTATATTGAATACCACGTAATTTAATTAAATTTTTTCTAGCAAATTCTTCATTGCCTTTTTTTAAATAATAAGATGGTGATTCTGGCATAAACATAAAAACTACAAAAAAAATAAGCGGTACAAGAGCAGATATAATAGACAATACTCGCATATTAACAAAAGTTCCTAAAATATATGATAAAAGAATGCCTGTAGTAAGAAGTAATTGAAAATATGATCCAAGAGTTCCGCGGATCTCGTTTTCAGCTATTTCTGCTGTATATATTGGTGCTGTTACACAAAAGGCTCCACCACTAAGACCAGTAATAAATCTACCAATATAAAACATAATCACAGAATTGGCAAAAATTATAAGCAACCAGCCTATACTAAAAGGTATCACCATCAAGAGCATTGAATATTTTCTTCCTATCATATCAGCAAGAATACCAATAGGAATACATATCACTGCTGAACCTATTGCAACTAATGAGCTAATCCATGAAAATTCATCTTTAGATATATGTATATTATATAAAGATTCTAGATTTTTGCCATCATCACCAGCAGAAGAAGTCCATGCTAATGTCATTCCAGCTGCTAAGGCTCCAAGAGTTGATGCCAAACTAGCAATATATTGAACTAGTCTGTTAGTTGATGATATAACTTGATCTCCAGTATTGGAAATTAAAATCTGTTGTGAAATTCCAAGACGATTCTCATTCATTTTCTTGAAATTATTTCAATAAATAGCTAAAAATAATTAATTTAATTTTATTTGTGAGATTTCTTAAATAATTGTCAAAACTTATTGCATACTTGCTGCAAAAATAATATAATTTAAAATTTGCATTTATTGAATTATTAATAGAGAAAAAACTACTGTTGTTTGTAACTAGTAGAATTCTATAAATGAATTTCTAAACTATAAACTTTAAATTTGACTTAAAATTTCTGATATTCTTATAATAATTCAAAATTATTAAATTTACTTTAAAATTATAATTTTTGAGTTATATCATTCTTATAACAAGTATGTAATAATTAAATAAAAAAACTTAAAATCTTAATAAAATATTTTAAATATTTTAAACATAGAATAATTACTTACATTTTACTTTAATTTAAATCTATTGCTGGTAGAATTTTATTTATATTAAATTAAATATTTATTCTTTTATATATAGTATTATCTATTATTATTACTGTAAGTAATGAAACAAAATATTTCTTATCTTTTTATTATAGTTTGCACTATTATATTATATATTATATATAATATATATTTGCATATATATTATAAATAAATAAAATTAGAAAAATTTAGAAAATCAATTTAAGATAAAAATGTTTTTATGTTTATCTATTTTAAATTCGATATATGATTTATAGACAGTAATGATATTTTGATGATTTACCTTAATTTCATATCAGTGATATGACTGGATTAAAATTAATCTTGATCGAATTGATGTGATTCGTCTATCGCTAATATGAAGTTCTTATCTATATTTTCTTTATTCTTCTTAGATCATAATATTTTCAATCTTTCAATTTTTATCAAATTTTTTTATTTCTTTAATATTTTTTTAAATATTAATAAATATTTAAATTTCAAATTATATTTTTTACAACATTGAAAATTTTTATATGATATTATTCTATTGTAACTTGGTAAAATACTTCTTTAAAACAGTTACTAGAACTTTGTACCTTTGTATTCATTTATGATAACATAATTATTTTACCTTATCTTATACATTCATTAATTTTTTAAAATGTTTGCAAAGTAAGCAATACTCTTTTTATGCTATTTTTTAATGTTGGAAAATCATGATTAGTTTTTTCTAATGTACATTTTAAATATTCTCTACAATAATGTTCTCTTTGCAAATTTTCTTCAATTATACTTTCGTTTTTATAAATCATTTTATATATACCATTTTTTATATCATATAATTGTTTTACTTTTCTTTGCTTAAGAACTAAACTATGTAAATTCTAAAAATTGAAAAATAACATTAAAAAAATTAACATTAAATAATTTTAATGATATGATATATCTAAAAACATACGTGATATTTTAATAATTCCATTTGTTCAATTTCGTTTTCTATAGTTTGAACATGTATTTTTAGATTTTGTAAAAATTCTTGACATTTAATTAATTTATTCTGAATGCTTGTTATTTGAATTTTTAATTTTTCTATCATATTGCCAGTTTGTTTTGTAATCTGTTAATGATAAAATATATAATATATAAATATATGATTTATAAAATAATAAAATATATGATAATCTCATAGAAATTAATTATTTTAATTTACTTTTAAAAGTTGTTTGATTTTTACTTTTTGATCAGATAAACGTTTATACATTATAATCTTTTCGTTATGTTTTACTTTTGGATTCTTTTTAAGTTTACCAAACATTTTGTCAACTATAATATCTCTTCTTGTAATACAAAGATTCATATCGTGAATTAATTTTTCTTGAATTTTTTTTAAATAAGAAAGTCTCATTTCCATTCTATGAATTTCACTTTTCATTGAAGCTATACCTCCAGTACTTGATTCTTCTTTCATATTTTTAATCGTATCTTGTAACAATTGTACCTTAATTATATTAATATTATAACAATTATAAAGAAATAAGTGATATTGTGATAAAAGATAAAAAACCTTATAAATTACCTTTTTTTCCCATGCTAAACTTTCTTGTTGTGCAGAATTTAATTCTTCCTTAAGTATAATTTTCTCTGTACATAAATTTTTTAAATCACTTTGTATTTTTATAACTTCTAATTCTAATTCTTGAAAAGATAAAAGACATTCATTTTTCATTATACAATTTTTATCTTCCAATTCTTTTTCTAAATCTTTTTGTACTACTAAATTTGAATTCATACGGGATAATTTTTGATTAAGAGAAATTATAATTTTATTTACATTTGCTTCTTCCTTTGTAAGCATTTCTAATGCATATTCCAATTTAAAATTTTTTTGTCCTATTATCATAATTTCCTTTTCAAGAAGATTTAATTCTCTTAACTGTGATTCTCTTTGTTGACTTAATGAAACAAAAAAACCTTGTTGACGCAACCAAAATTGTTGTGCTTTTTTAATATTTTGTTGAAGTTCTTGAATATTTTTTTCTAAACTAACAATTTTTAAATCTTGTGGACTCAATTCTTCTCCACCAATACTTGGTAATATCTAAAATTGTTTATGTATAAATATATAATTTCTAATGTAATAAAATAATGTAATCAAATTATATTTTGAATTAAAAAATAAAAGAAAAAAATATGCAACCTGTTCAATAAGTTTATTTATTCCAAGAAGTTTTGTTTGTGACTTTCCTATCATTGCTTCATATTTTTTTGTTTCCTTTTGTAATTCATCTATTTGTTTTTCTTTCCCAGTATTCTTCTGTGTCAGTTCCAATAATTCTGTTTTTTTAATTTCAATGAGATTTTTAAGTTTTTCTAATTGTAACAGATTATTTCCATATGTATTTTCTATACGTGCAATAGAAATTTCATGTTCTAATACAATATTTTTTGTACTCATTAATAATTCATTTATATATTTAGTTGTCTTATTGCATAAAACTTTTTCTTCCAATTTTTCAAATATTGTTTTTTCTAAATTATTTTGTTTTTGAAAAGTAGTTTCAAGCTTTTTATTTATTTGTTCTTCTTCATAAAGATAATTTTGATATTTCTGAAATTATATCAGTTTTATTTATAATAACAGTTATAATATTTTAATTTAATAATTATAACATATTTAACATACACTAAGTATAACATTATAATCATATTCTGTTTGTTCATTAATTTTAGTTAAGTTTAACAATTCTTCTTTATTTTTTGCAATTTTTTCATTGTATACTGATATTGCTCGTGATGTAATTTTAATATTATTTTCTATTCGAAAGTTCCATGATGTCAAATATTCATTATTTTCCATTTCTTTTTCTATTTCTTTATTTACTTTTTGTATTTCTAATAACAATCCATTGTATAATTTATGTGCTTCTCTAAAAAAATTAATTTTTCAGTAAATTAAAAAAATATAAAAAATATAATTCATATGAATTCATTTTCTTGAAAATGAATGAAAAATGAATATGAAAAATTTAATAAACAAAAAAGAAAATAAATTTAAGAAGAAAAAAAATTTATATAATTTATTTTAAAATTTAAACAAAATTTTAAATTTTATTTTAATTTATTAAAATATATTTCAAATTATTTATAAAATCGTGAATTTATATACAGTAAACTCCCATTTACTTAGCATTGGTAATAAGCTATTAAATATGACTATATTATGATATTACTAACAATTATTACAGCAATAATTTTTATATTTTATTAATATATTAATAATATTATATATTATATTTAATTTTATATGTAATTAAAAAATATTATATATATATATATATATATCTTATTTTATTTTTAAATGGGAGTATATTGTATATAATACACTAATATATATACTTATAATTTTTTTCTTTTATTTTTATTTTTTTTAATATTTACTTTTGTTCAAAATATAATTGATCGTGAATATTACTTCTTTTAGAAATATTAGTTACTATAGATTTCCATATATTATGTAAATCTTTATGTTCTGTATGCAGAGTTTCTAAATCTGTATTTGCATCAATTATCATTTTATTAGCATCTTCTTTTTCTTTATTTTTGATTTGTAATTGCTCATCAAAATAAGCTATTTCTGATTCAATTTTCCATATTTCTTCTTTTAATCGATATAATATAAAATCTCTTTGTTGTTTTTTATTAATCAATATCTTATTTCTATTAATATCTTGTAATGACAATTGTTTAGATAAAATTAAATGATTATTTAATTCTTTCTCCCATTTAGACAAATAAGAATGAAATTCCAATAAATTTTTTAATTTTTGAGATAGTTTTTCTTTTTTATCTTTTTCTTCTTTTAATTTTGAATAATTTTGTTTTAGAATTTCTTTAGCATTTTCTATATTATTATTTTTTTTTTCTCTTAAAAATGTGACTTTTGATAATGCTTGTATATATTGCTGTAATATTGTATGTTGATGTTGAACATCTTGCTGCATTTGATAAAGTTGTATAGCTTCTGATTCTAATTCTTTTTCTGCACATTTTATTGATGTTTCCTAAAAATATATAATTATATTTATATTTTATGAAGATATATTTTTATTTAAAAATATGAATATTGTAACAAAATCTCTATCAATGTTAAACATAATAATATAAAATATATAAAAAAATATATTATTTATTATATTTTTATATTCATTTACTTACAAGATTGATTATTTCTTCTGAAAGTTTATTATCAACATGCAATAAATGTGCATGTAGTGTTTCTTGAAATTTTTTCATCAAATTATCATTTGGATTCAGAATATGTAATGTAGTTGCCATAATTCAAACACAATTTATTGCACTCTATTACGAATTTTTTAATTATTTAGAAACTTTTTAAAAAAAATATTATTTTTATTTTTTTTTATATATTTACTTAAATAAAATTAATCTATATATGTATATATAAAATTTTTAATCTTCTTCTTTAAACTTTTTCTTTCAATACTAAAAGATTTATTTATGTTTCAATTATATGGTAACCATATTAACAGTCGCGAAGTAAAAAATAATAGAAAGAAAACTTTTAATATTTTTACTTTTATCAAATTTTTTCTCTTGCTATCTAATTTTTTAAATAATAAAATAATAATTTTACTATTAAAAAAATGCTATTTTATTAAACAATCAAACAATTATTATCATGTTTTAAAATTATAATTTATTAATATTTATCATAATATTATTAATAAAATTATTAATATTAAATTATAATATATATAATCATTATAATATGTATATGGTTTAACAATTATCAAAAATTATCAATATTTTAAATTTTGAAATTGTAAGAATGTTTGAAGATTAAAAATTTTATTAAAATAATAGAAAAATTCTAAACATAATGATTTGAAAAAATAGCAATAGATGTTTTGAATTATGTCTTAAAAGTATCTAATGTACAAAATGTTTGAAAAATATTTTTTGAATAATTTATATTTTTTAAACAATTTTTTATTAAAAAATATAGTTATAATAATAATACAATTATTATAAATTATATTATTCCTAGATAATATATAATATCAAAAATTTTGATTAAAGTATAAAAAAATTTAAACTTTTTTAAATATTTTTATCAAGTAAAATCCAAAAATATCGATCATAATTATTATAATTCATCGACTTAAAAAATTGTATATATGTAAATTTTATAGGCAAATAATATATAATCAAATTTTTTATATATAATTATTATAAATATTATATATATAAAAATTTATTAATATAATACATGTACAATATACGATTTTCAAATTTATTTTTTAAAAATCACAATATTTGCTATCAGTTGCATATTTCATCAAAAATAAAATTAATTCTTTTATTATTCGTTTTTTATATATATTAAATAAATCTAACATGTTTTTTCTATTTTATATATTTTGAAATTTTATATATATTCTGTTTTTAATTTATTTAAAAAAATTTTTTTTGTGTTATAATTAAAAAATATATTTCGATGTTTACATTAGAATGTAAACATAGTAATATAAATATAAGTTATTAAATAGCAGTTAAACATAAAATTGTTATACATTTGTTACAAATTATTAAACATAAAATTAGTAATTAGTATTTTAAAAATCAATTTTTCTTTAAGACTCTCAATTATAATTTTATATCAAAATTTATCTTGTTTAATTATAATTCCTTTTTAGTTTTAAAAAAATAAAATGGCAATACTATCTATTCAAGTTTAAAGTTGTATGAAATTTGTTTTATTCAATATATAATATATTTAATAACTTTGTAATTTCTATATATTTAATTATATTCAAAATTTTTTGTCAAAAATTGATTATAAATTTAAATAAATATAAAAATTTTTTATTAAATTGTAGTATTTTAAAAGAAATTTAATATAATTAAATTAAAATATATATTTATTTATTATTATATTATAATTAAATTAAATTAAAAGAAATTCTTATATTCATACATTATTTTAATTTTTTAACCAGTTTTTGAATATTAAAAATATTTTAATAAATTTTATTATTTTTTTATTGTTTTTAACCGAATTTAAATTCTTAATTTCCTTTATTATTTCTAAAACTGATACATAATAATGGATTAGAAAGAATATATATTTTTTCATTGTTGATATTAATTTTATATAAATCATTTATTATGCAAAATTTTTTAGAAAATTTTTAATGTAAAAAAAATCGAAAATATTCAAGAAGCAAGATATTAAAATTGTATTACTATACTTTGAAATTATATATTAAAATTTGCAATATTTGTACAAACTTATATGTAATATATAGATTAAAAATTTTTAAAATTGTAAAATGCTTTGATAAAAACTTTGAGTAATTGAAGATAATCAAAGCATTTTTTTTATATTTTTTTAATAAAAATATTATATAGAACTGTTCATTACTATAATACTTTTTCCATTATAATAGTATATAATAGTATCAATTATTATGTCATAGATGATTGAAATATTTCCTTTTGTTTCTTTTGCATGAATTTTTGAATATTTTTTAAAATTCCCTGTCTTTTTTTAATTTTGTGAAAAACATATATATAATTGAATGTAATTCTTCATATTATCAAGTAAATTATTGCATGATATGCACACAATGATAAATGCATGGAAAAATAATAATTTCCTATTAACTAAACAAAAAATCAGTGAATTTCATCTTTTCAATATTACATATGTATACATTATTCAAATATATTATTTTTTTATGATAAGTTGTATTTGTAATATGTACAAGTCTATAATACGTAGTCTATATAATACATAATATATCTATATATATATAATATATCTAGTCTATATAATACATATATAAATTATAATACCTAATTTAAAGCACTTATGTAAATTTTCTGTAATGCCACCTTGAATCTTGATAAAATATTTCACATTCATATGATATTATTTATTATGTATTAAAATACATAAAGTTTTAACATCTGATACATCAAAGCTCTTATATATTAGTAATGAAAAGTATTTATTTTATAGCATTTATATCCATTTTAATAGAATAAATTTATTAATAACATTTTTTATGATATTATTTTTATTCTTTTCAAAAACATATTTTTTATTATATTTGAATCAGGCCAAATTGTTTTATACATTTTCATAAAATAATTTCAATAAAATATTGAATATTCAATAAATGAAAATTTTTATTATACTAATTATAATAATATCCAAACAAATCTTTAACTTTGCTTTTTTTTACATTTTTTTATTAATATTAATAGATTTTTTTAGTTTAGAAACATTGATAACATTTTTTTTTTTCTTAATTATATTTATATTATAACTGAATTTTTATATTTCAATAGCTTATTTATTTTTGTTATAATAATTTTATTGTATAACTGAATTTTTATATTTCAATAGTTTATTTATTTTTGTTATAATAATTTTATTGTATTCTTTACATTTTATCTCTAAATTGTATCATTGCATTTCAAATCAGAACTTGAAATCTGGATCCTCCGATCATACATTGCTAAATAATTATTTCTTATTTTTCCTTAAAAGAAAAGAAAAAATGTGCTACTAATGTTGCTATCGTTATTATTATAGATAATTATATATATATAATTTTAAATAATTTTTAAATTATATTAATACAAAAATATCAAATATTTTAATTTATTAAATGTTTTACTCGAATCCCTATTATTTATTTTAAACTAGATATTTTATTGCAAATAATTAAAAAACAGCAAAATCAAAAAAAATTCAAGATACAACACTATAAAGTTAATCTAAAAATTAAATATCGTTACATGAAAATAATAAAAGGTTATGTATTCTTTTCATAATTTATTGAAGAAAAATTGAGTCACATTTAGAAATAGTAGGAATAGCAACTAAAGTCCGTGTTTAACAATGCCTTCATTTAACAAATCATTTCCACACACTGTTATCTTTTGATATTATTGGAAGCCATTTTGTTCCGATATCTGACAATTATATGAATTAATGAAACAAATGTTTCTAAGTGATTGAATACAATAATACTACTGTTTATATTACTGTGAGTTTTTAATTTAATTTTTAATATTTTTATTAATATATTTTATTTCAAATATATTATTTATAATACTTTTAATAATTTAAAATATACGTAGTGTGATATATAAATATTTATTCTAATTTTTTTTTAGTAGTTTAAGGTTATTTTGAAATTTTCATTCTATGATATATTTTTATTTATGTGCATTATTTATAAATAATTATAAAAATATATTAATTTATTTATTTTTAAATAGATGAATGCTGTCTTAGGTATTGGACGCATAATTAATGTTTTCTGCAAACGATGTCTCAGTTCTTTTAAATTACCTTCAGAATTTGTCATACCAATGAGTAATGATATGATTATTTGTTGGCATCCAGAACGAGAATTTCCTTATAAATATTCATTACCACTACCACAAGAGAAAGAGACTTTATCAAATTCTGTTTTATGCATTGGTGAAAAAGAAATTGCTGATGTTTTTAAACATAAGAGAAAAGAAGTTGTCATTGAAGAACTTCGTAAAATGACATATACTACAAAACATAGATGGTATCCAAAAAAACGGTTGTTGAGATTTAAAAAAGTAGAACCAGACAGACCATATCTGTAATATGTTATATATTTTTAAAATGTAAATTAATATAATAAAAGAAAGAATAATGGAATATTAGAATAAAAAAATAATAGAATTTTAAAAAATTATTATTACAGTCTTTTTATTTAATTTAAATTAATTAATTTCATTTTATTGCACCTATTTAAATATGAAATATTCTTAAATTTATATACATACATATACGTACACGCACGCGACACATACACGCATAAAAGTCATAATAATATGTATTAATACATCTAAACAAGAATTAGTCTCAGAAAAAATGACATTTAAATTCTATAAATTTTGAGGTAATATTTGTCTTTCTCCTTCATATAAAAATATTTGCATTGCTTGATATAATAAATATCTTCCAAAGTTACATTTTTCCTCTATATCCCATGTTGCTACTATTCCATAGTAATCTCCATTTTTATAATTTCTTAATTTTTGTATTCCTAAAGCATCAATCATAGCAGCTTCACGTGTATAAGCTTCTACTGGAATACTATTTTGAAAAATATGAAGACAAACAATTCCATAGCCAGCATTCCAAATACTTAAAATGTGTTGAATTTTTGCATTTTCAGAATTTTTATTTGAAACCCATGTATCGAAAGCATCTTTAAGATGGGAGTATGGTCTATTGCGTGTACCTTTACCCACATAAAAAATAGCAGAAAGGAATGTAGTCCAAGCTATGGGTTTTGCTAGATTTTCTATACGAGAAGGTAAATCTTTTGTTATACGTGGATCTAAAAGTAAATAATTAAAGCAAGTTTTATTCATTCCTTCTCTCCATTTTCTAGAAGGACTTGCTAAGGAAAATTCTTTAAAAGCATTTTTTTCAATGATTTTGTATCTTTCTAAATCATTAACCCAATTTCCATACATTAGGAATGGTTTTATTTGAAATTCATAATAATCTATTTTAAATGAAGAATGATTAATTTCAAAGAATGATGAATTATATATTCCACTTTTTAATTTCGTGAGACGCTTTAAATAGAGTTGTCTGGTTGTATTAGTTATTGGTCCAGGATTATCACCATAATAAATTAGTTCCTTTCGTAGTGCTTCATTTGTTGGATTCATTGATAAATTTAATGACTTAGGCCCTAAATAAATTTATATAAAAAAAGTTATTATATTCTATATACTATAAAAAATTATAAATTGAAGTATAAAATAATTATTAAATAAATCTTACATAATTTTTCAGATGAAGTAGAATTTACAGATTTACTATAAATAAATAAAACAATTTTATTATTAATAATAATCAATTATTGATTCAAAATACAATAAAAAAAATTATAGTATTTTTTTTTAAAAGAAAAAATATTTCAAATTTCTTTGCCATTATTTATTTTTGCTTTGAAAAATTAAACTTTATGATCTTATATTATTTTCTCTTATTAGTCATATCTTAATTAACAAATATAGAAATTATAGAAATTATATTGATATTAATAAATAATGATATTAAAATATATTAATGATTATATTGATATTAATAAAAATTTTAATTTTTTTTCAGAAAATTGGAATAAAATCATTAGAAATTTGAAAATTTCATTGAAAATTGAAATCAAACTTTTTTCTCTATTTTTATTTTTGTTTTTTACTTTTGATTTCACTTTATTGAAGATAAATAATAGCTAGTAATTTTCTCCTTCACTAATATAATCATTAATAAAATATGATATTTGACCACTATAATTGTGAACACTATAATTTCTTTTTGTACTATCAAAGAATCTAGTTGTACTATAGTTGATCAAAATAAAATTTGATGTGAATCATAAGAAGAGAAAATATTTGAAATATGAAATTTTAGATTTAGCAATTCATATATTCAAAAGATAGTTTTGATAAAATAAAAAATAAGTATAAATGAAATTTCATGTATTCGCTTATTGTGATAAATGTGATTGATTTAAAAAAAAAATAGAAATTGAAATTAAAACAAATTTTATTTTTATATATTCAAGAAATGTTTTAAGAATTCGTTAATAATCTAAACATAACATCGAAATTTATTATATACATAATAATTATTATATACATTTATTATATACGTAATAAATATATATGCATAAAATACTAAAAACTAATATTTCATATTTCAGATAATCTTCTGATGATCTTATGATAACTATTAAATTTTATCTTAATCAAACATTGATATTATTCAAAAGAATATTTTTACTATCTTACCATGGTGATAACGTGTAAATTCTACGTTCTAAGAAAATTACACCTTCATCTGTGTTTTCATATTTATATTCTTCTTGTACACTAACATATGACTGTGATCTGAAACTATTAAAAATAATTTATTAAATTCAAAATATTAAATATTTTTGTGATAAAATCTCAGCAATATTATTATAAAAATTAAAATAACATTTAAAATAAAATTTAAAATAATTGTTAAATATAGATATATATTATAAATAATATAAATAACTTATAAATATAAATAACTTTACCTTGAAAGAAAAGTATTCAAATTTTCTTTAAAAGTATTTACAGTATTATTAACTTTTAATTCTACTTCTTTATCTGAAAATTTTTCTTGTAAAATATATTCCTTTAAATGTTCTTTATTTTTTTTGTTAAAATCTATTTTTTTTATGTTTAAAGTTTTAAAATTATTATTAAGTTCTTCTATTAAATTTTTTTGTGATATACATGTTTTAACATTAACTTCATTTTTCTTCGAATTTATTGACATATCCTCATCATATTTATTTTCATGTAATTTTATTGCCAGGTTTTTATTAAATTTATAATCCAAGTCTTTTATACAACTTTGATTTGGCGACAAAGAATTTGTTGCATCAGGACTTGTATTATCTGAAGAAATAAATTTATTATTTTTTCTGAGTTTTCTAAGTGATGAATACTGTCTATAAAATCGTTTTTTTCTTCTTGGAGTAGATCTTGCTACTTCTTTTCCTAAATTAAATTCTTCTGATCGAAATGATCGATTTCTCGTCATGCAAGGTGTAAAAGTTTTAAATTTTAATTCTTTATTTGATACTTTTGGAGATAAGTATTTTTGTTCCATTTCTATTGGTTTATTTGATAAAAAATTAGGCGATTTACTTATAATAGAATCACTTGGATCATACACAGATATTAACGGAATTTTAATATTATTATTTTGATAGAAATTTTTTCGACGGGTAATAAATCGTTTTCTTACTTTTATTTTTAATGAAAATTTATCTTTTATATTATATGACATATTATTATCAGTACTTATTGTAGATGATGGACTTGTATCATATAAAATTTCTTTAAATTGTTCATATTTTTCATTAATTTCATCTTCTTTAGAATTAGATTTTAAAGAATTTGAAAGTTGATTAATAATTTCATTGACTAAGAACTTTTCCTTATCCATTTCTTCACGAATTTGAAGTTCTGCTGCACTCGTCATTGCATTATTAACTTGATTATCATTATTTATATTATTGTAATTGAAATTAAAAGTATTTATATGTTTTATATCAATAAATTTTTCATCTTTATGTTCTTCAGATGTATCAATTAATATATTTCTTTCGATAACATCTGAAATTTCTGGAACAATATATTCAGCTACTATGTTTTCAGTATTAATCAACAGTTTATCTATAAAAAATATTTAATTTTTATTCATTTATTAATTAATTATAGATAGATATTGAAATTTAATTTATTTTTTTTACATACCAAAAGTCATTTTATATTTTGTTGGTTTTTCTTCTTTTGTAGTATTATCACAATATTTTCCAAGTATTACAATTGCTTTATAATATTTACCATCAAAAGCATAATGAAATGGACTACGTCCTTCATCATCCAAACAAAGAGGATCTCCACCATTTGCTAAAAGTAACTCTAAAACTGTGGCTCTACCCCATGCTGCTGCTACATGAACTGGAGTTAATCCATCTATTGATCTATAAGATTAATTAAAATAACACTTCATTGTTATATATTGAAAAAATTATTTTTATATAAATATTTTTCTTCAAAATATAAAATCAATTTTATTTTAAATTAAAAATTAATTATTTTAATTTTATTTTAATTAATTACCTGATATTTGGATTACCTCCATGACGTAAAAATAATTTAGTAACTTCTTCTGCAAATGCTTCAGAATCATTACCTATTACTAAGTGAAATGGAGTTACTCCATATGTAGGAATTAGAATATTTGGGTTTGCTTCTTTATTTAAAAGTAAAGTAGTTACTTGTCTATTAAAATAAATAAATAAATAAAAATTTTGAAATATAAAAAATATAATAATATATAAATTATTTATATAATAATATCAATCTAAATTTTTAATTTTTTTTTTAAAATTTTAAAAATCTTACTTTATATTATTATCTTCTAAACCATCGCAAAGAGAAGAAGCCAAAAAAAGACATCCCTTTGTTTTTAAAGTCGACATTATATTTCAATTATAATTGAAATTTGATAAATTTTTGTTCTATCAATTTTTAAACCTATTGTGCATTGAATATAAAAATAAAATATTTATTGTATATAAAAATTATACCATAATTAAAATATAAAAGTATCATTTATTAATTGAATGATTGAAAGAAATATTGTATATAATTATAATAAAATTATATTATATAAAATTATAATAAAAATATTTTAAAATTTAATTTATACATTATACATATCACATAACGTTTTATAAAGTTTTTATAAATTATTTTTAAAATATAAAATGAAAAAAAATAAATAAAATATAAAATGCATAATATTTTATTATTTTATTTTTATATTTAAAATAATAATTTAAAAATTTTTCGATTATATAAAACAATATAGTTTTATAACGAACATAATAAATACTTTCCACAACAATAAAACTATAACTGTAACCGGTAAAATTAATAAATGTAAATGACTTATTAAAAGTATATTGTATAAATTAATTATAAAACAAATGATAATTATATTTTATTAAAAATTATTTTATATTAATTTTATTATAAATCTTTATATCAAATATTTACTATGAAAATTTAAAATCAAGTACACTAGAATTCACTTTATTTTTTTTTGTTTGCCCTGAAGTTGTTTAAGTTTCTATTGACTATTTACATTCTATTTAAATTTATTCTTTATTTTATTAAATTAAGTATGTAAAAGACAATTTTTAAATATTTTTTCGTATATTTTATAATACATAAATAATAAATAATAATAACCAATACTTATCAATTTTTATTTTAACAATGTAATATTTGTATTTGTTTATATTATATATATAATAGTAATTGAAGAAAAAATATGAGTAATCAAAATTGTTATAATAGAGGTTAAGTTCATATTATAAATTTTTTCATTTTGTACAATTTATGATATAAAAAAATAAAAAAGAAATATTTATATTCTATAAAATTAATATTATAAAATAATTATAGTTATTATGTTGCCTTCTACTGTAACAATAATTAAAGTAACAAATGTTTTAACACCATATATTATAAGAATTTGTGAAATCAAACATTATAATGAAAAATTAAATTCTATCAATAAGAAATTATTTAAAAAAAAAGAAATTTTTAAGACTATTAAAAAAAACAGTGAACCAAAAATAGGAGATGTAAGTTTTTAGAATAATTTACATATAATTGTTATTTTAATACTAATATTATTAATGCTATATATTAATATTTATACTATATTATATATATATAAATTAAATATAATTCATATTATCTTACTTAAATTATTAAAACAATTTATTTTATATATAAATCTTTTTAGGCAGTTATAGTATATAATAAATTACATACAACATTTGATTTTCCTGGATGGTTATCTAGAGGACATATTTGTAATATAGGAAATCTAAAAGATACATATAATATTTTTCTATCTGATCATGGTATTTGTGTTGTATTAAAAAAGGAAGATTTTGTTATTTGTTCAACTGATATAATTACAGAAGAATATTTGAGTTTTACAGCTGGTTTATATAATGTTTTACCTGCTGATGTGAAATATGATTTTTCTATGCATAATGAAACTTTAACGTATGATTAAATATAATAATTAATATAATATTAATATTAATATATTATTTATTCAATATATTGAAATAATTTATATATCTAAAAATTATATTCATTTTTTCTTTCTTGTATGTGTGTAAAGAATTTTAGATGAATGGAGCACATCTGCAATTGAATACACAAAAGAACTAATAAATGCATCTGATACAATTTATTTTGATTATTTAGTATCTGATCAATATGGAAGATATTATGGTGAATTTTATCTTAATATAAAAAACAATATAATATGTTTAAGTGAAATTTTAGTTCTTAATCATTATGCTGTGTATTTAGATAAAGGTAATCTATCATATTTTTATGTATTTTTAATATTTAAAATTACATTATTTCAGATATGCTTATTTTTGTATTTAATTTTTGTATAGAATTATTGCAATTTATAAAAAATCCTATGAATAAAAAGTTAGATAGAAAAATAATTAATAATGAAATTATATTTTATTTAAATATTTCAAAAATGTTAAGTAATAATAATAAAGAAAAAGAAAAAAAAGAAAGGTTTGGTAAAAAATATAATTAGACAAAAATTAATTTTATTTTTTCTATTACATTTTATTAACATTTTTATTAAATTTTTTATTAATAGTTTTATAAACAAAATGAAATTTGAAAAAGATAAGTATTATGAATTTAAAAAAAATAAAGAAAGAGTATTAATTTATGGAGAAGATAAATATGAATGTTTAAATTCCACTTTAGATGCAAAATTTCCTGCAGAAATACACAAGGTACAATTATGCACTGAAATTATCATTAAGATAGATAAAAATTAATTTATATTCATATTTCAAGATTTGGAAATCATTGATACAATCTTCTAAACCAAGAAAAATACAATCATATATTTGGCCTGCTATAAAAAAAGGTTTAGATATAATAACAATTGGAACTGCAAAATCTGGTAAAACTACTGGATATGCATTTGCTATTTGCGGACTTTTAGCTACCAATGCAAATGTAAAATATTATTTAAATTAATTATACTTTTATATTAATATTAAAAGTAATATTATAGAGTATATTACATTTATATATATATAAATCATTATATTAGAAACTTTATAATCTGTGATAACAATTATTTTTTATCAGATAATTGATAATTTTAAAAAATATATATTAATTTAAAATTTTATTTATTATATTTATTATATTTTTTAAAATGCCATGTTTACATATTATATTTTAAGAATTATAAATTTTAAAACAGCTTCCTCAAGGAATAAATCCATCTGTATTAATACTATGTTCTTCTTCTTCTGAAGTATTAGAAGTTAATTTTTTATGTACAGAATTCCTACAAAATTATGAAAAAATACGATCAATTGCTGCAATTAATGGTAAATCAGAAAGATCATTAGTGGTACGTAGTTTTAAATTAAATTTTAAATTAAATGTAAAAAGAAATAAATAAAAATATTTATTTTAATGGAATAAAAATTAAATATTCTATTTTTAGGCTGAAATGTTTAATGGGTGTCAGATATTAATTTCTACACCTAGATTTTTAGTACGTTTTATGAATAGGAATGAAAAATTAATAAATTTTAAAAATCTTCAATATTTAATTTTGGATGGTGGTGATATTATTTTGAATAAATATTATGATTCTGTAAATTTCTTTTACATTTATGATAATTTTTTTGCTTTTATTTATTTATTTAATTTATTTTTTTATTTATTTATATTTTTATTTATTTATTTAAATATAATGAAATATAATTTTAGGTAAATCATTTATTTAAGAAATATAATATTATTTCTAATAGAGAATTAAAAAATAAAATGTTACAAATTATAATAACTGCAGCACATTGGACACCGCAATTAAAAAAAGTTGCTTTTATTTTAATGGATAATCCATGCATATGTATAGCATCTTTTTTAGAAGCTGCAATTTTTAAATCTGTACATATAAATATATATGTAATAAATTCAAAAAAAAAAAATGAAAAACTCTTAGGTAAAACATAATATTTTAAGATTTTTATTTACAATAAAATTAAATAATTTAAAATCATTTTATAATAGATTTATTAAGTAATGGATATTCTTATATAAGAACTATAATTATTTGTACAAATACTGATGAAGCTGAAAAATTATATAACTTTTTACAAAAACATATAGAAATTCTTTTAGCTCATGGAAATATGAATTTTTTTCAATTACAAGGTAGGAATGTATTTAAGAATTTCAAAAATTTTAATTTTTAATTCTATTATTTTTAAATTTAATAAATAAATAAATTTAATTAAATAATTAAATAAAATTAATTTTTTATTTCAATATAGATATTAAACAATGTTGGAATGTTTGTATAAGTGGTTCTTATCCAATTTTAATATGTACAGATGATATATTATCTGATATAGATATTACAAATGTAACTTGGTTGATACATTATTCAATTCCCTTGCATTCTAAAACTCAATTTAATTTTCGATTTTCAACACTTATAGAAAATTTACAAATGGTACAATTATTTTATATCAACAATTTTTTGCATAATTTAATATAAAATAATTTTATTCAATAATTTATTTAAGGAAAATTGCAATTGCAAAGTAACAATAATGATGGATGAAAATAATGATATACAATTTTTACATGTAATGAAAATTATGCAACGTATGAATGTTACAATTCCTCAAAATATATTAGAAAATATTAAGGTATCTATTAAAATAATTTAATAATTTAATATATATAAATATATATAATAAAAATTTGGAAATAATCATATTTTTGCATGAAATAAAAAATTTTATTGTAAATATAGAAATAATTACTTATTAAAATAATTATTATAATACATATTGACAATTTAGGTAAAGAAAAAATAATAAATAAAATATCTAAAATTTGTTTAGTAATAATAAAAAAAAAGACAATCATTTTAATGAATCAAAAAATTGATTTTAATTTATATTCATTTAAGATTTTGTTTCTTGATATTTGTGTTATATATTATTTAGTATTTATTTTTATTACAATGTCATATTTAGCAAATTTATTGTTTTAAATTTTAAATTGTATTAAATTTTTAATAACAATATTCATTAATTTATGGTACAAATTTGTTTTAAAAATTTGTTAAGTTTATAACAAATGCATTAGAAAAGAAAAAAGAAAATTATCCTATTTGCGACAATATAAAATCCTGGGGATTTTGTAATAAACAAGTTTCGTGTGCATTTAGACATAAAATAATTTCAAAGATTGATATACCACTCACAAATATTCAAATGTAAGTAATGTAAATATGTAAAAAATTAATAATTTTAATCAAAAATTTTTAATTAATAAATTTTTGGATATTATTTTAGAAATGATAAAGTGAAATTCAGAGTAGTAAGTATACTTGATGCCACACATGTTTCTGCTAGAATTATATCGTATATTAAATTTGATACATTAGAAGAAATAGAATTTCCTAATACACAATATAT